TCTGTCTGTCTGTCTCTGTCTGGCTGGTTTTCTGTCTACCTACAGGTAAGATGAATGTGTGCATATGTGTGCTTATACTTCATTCCGACTCATCTGCTAAGATCCGTTGTATTTTGCGACACTCATTCAGCCACGATCTATTTAGTTAAACACTACATACATATACACACATACACACATGTATCACAACATGCATCTGTGTGTCTAGGTTTCCAGTCTCCTTTCAAAGTGTTAAGACTTCTTGGACGTTGCGAGACTCAGCCACGATGGAGGCTTAAACTGCTTCCTGCCCACAATTGCTGCCGACTTCGGCAAGTATCTGGTGTGTCCGGAGCCCAGTTGGCGTCACACCCGACATTGTCAGCGTTTCTGCCCCCAGCCAACTGCAAATCGAACCACCGAGACCCGACACTTCGTCGCGCACCGAAGCTCTAGAAGGCTTGACTTGCAGCGGAGGCCCCTTGTGCCCCAAATGCTACCACCTCGGCACCAGCACGCATAGCTGAATCTCACACCCAACACCCGCGATCAACATCTCGAGCCCCTCACTATGCCGCTATGCAGCCAAGCCCAAGCTACCTAGGTTCATCTAGGGGAACCTCGTCTGGTTCCGGGTTCAGACAAGTCCTGAGGCTGATTGGTTGTTGTAGGGTTGAGGGAGATGTATAGGGCGTCGTGGTCTATGTAGACCCTAAACCCTAAGCCCGAAATCCCGTGGAAGCGCCTCAGGCTACCGTCTGCAGCGAGACGACGCCACCGGGTTCCAGGGCCTCCATTGCCCCTTCCTTCCGAACGCCGGGCTCGCCGGGACGACGCAGGTGGGGAGTTGGGATGTCGGTTTAGGGGTTTAGGGTTTAAGGAACTGACAGCCGGGAGGCTAGCCCTGGATATACGACGTCATTAGAATCTAGCAAAGTTGCAAGGATCCCAGGTTTTCAGGCCAACCACGATGCTGTTCCTTTACGCGATCTACTCGCATCAAGACTTGCAAGCAGTAAACCCTGTTCTAATTGCTAAGGCCGCAATACTAGGTTTCGGCCACATGCCTGCGGGTTGTCAGCTGGCTTCACATGACGCAACTGAGAAGAGCTTTATGCACATGATTTCACAGATTGAGATAGCAAGGAAGTCAGCAGACACATACCCACATTGTGTAGTTCTGCGCAAATCAGTTGACTACGACGTTTACGAGGTGACGCCGACGAAGGCGACTACAACTACTCAAACATCATCATGAGAGCGTTGCTCATGATCATGCAGCTTCTTCATGTGCAGCACGACCATACCAACAGAAGATAGCATCACAACCTTGTTTGCTTATGAACTGGCTGCATGCAACCCGGTCTTTTGCATGACCGACTTCTCACCCTTGTCATTTGCTGTTGAAGATACGCAACCAGTGCTGTTGAGATCACTAAAATCCTTACCGTTCAACATCGTCCAGATATGATCATTCTCACACTGTTGATGAACAAAATTCTGCATGACCCAAATATAGTAAAGTACCATAAATCCCATAGTTTAGGTATATAAGGTCATGCAGGATTTTGTCCATCCCACAGCCCTTCCCGACATAGTCAACCCGGCTTAAAAATCTAGGTGGTGGGCGGCCTCACTCTGTTCATGATCGCCGCTCTGTGGACATGGCCTCTTGGCTGTTGCGGGTCGAAACCCGAAACCCTGAACCCTGAACCCTAAACCCGAAACCCTAAACCCTGAACCCTGAGCCAAAACCCTAAACCCTGAACCCTTGAACCAAAACCCTAAACCCGAAACCCTGAACCCTAAACCCGAAATCCTGAACCCTGAACCCTGAGCCCTAAACCCTAAACGGGGCAAAGGGCGAGGCATTTCGGAATCACCTCCTGAAGCCTTAGCTCAGGGGTCCGAGAGTTTAGCGTTTAGGATTTAGGGTTTAGGGGTTTAGGGTTTAGGGCTTAGGGGTTTAGGGTTTAGGGGTTTAGGGTTTAGGGGTTATGGTTTAGGGTTTATGGTTTTGGGGTTTACGGTTTAGGGGTCCTGGATGAGTTTCTCCGATGAAGGCCAGACTCCTTGAGGTCATCAGCGGCGTGGAGAACAGCGGAACTCTAAGCCCCTGAACCCTAAACCCCAAAACCTTAAAACCCCAAAACCCTAAAACTCTAAGACCCAAAACACTAAACCCTAAACCCTAAAACCCTAAGACCCAAAACACTAAACCCTAAACCCTAAAACCCTAAAACCCTAAACCCTAAAACCTAAATCCTAAACCCTAACCCCTAAAGCCTAAACCTAAATCCTAAACCCTAACCCCTAAACCCTAAAACCGAAATCCTAAACCCTAACCCCTAAACCCTAAACCCTAAAACCCAAAACCTAAGCCCTAACCCCTAAAGCCTAAACCCTCAAACCCTGGGCTTTAAACGAATCACTCCGGCTGCCACGAGGCTCAGCCTTTCCAGATCCGAGGAGGTGGGCGAAGGGGGGTGGGTCTGCCTCCCCGAACTCGTGTTGGGTCCCTTCTACCACTCCTAGGGTTTAGGGTTTAGGGTTTAGGGTTTAGGGTTTAGGGGGTTCCTTTAAAGGGTTCCTTTTAAGGGTTCTATAAGGGCTATTATAAGGGCTTAGGGTATAGGGGCCTCGATAACTACCGAACTCGCGTTGCGTCCCTTTTAGGGTCCGTTTTAGGGGTTTAGGGTTTAGGGTTTAGGGGGTTTGGGTTTAGGGGTTTAGCCGTTTAGGGCTTGGGGTTTAGGGTATAGGGGCCTCAAATAACTACCTGTCTTTTTTTTGGGGCTCCTTGTTATAATTCTACTATAAAGGACCCCGAAAGCCTTTTCTAATTATGAAGGCCCGTATGGTGGGGTTCTTTTTATACCGGTGCCGCCTTATGCGGGGTTCCTAGACAGTGGTACTAGTTAATTTAGGAATCTACCCTGTCGCTTTGAAGAGTCCTATGAAACCCTACCTTAAACACTCTTCACCACATAGAAATATCTTGCGGGCAATGTGCTTCTCTCCGTGTTTTTCCACCACATGTACCAGTTCGTGTGCAATGGCCGCTGTTTTGACAATTTTTACTTTTTGACGGGCCAAAGATTCGTGGGCAAGGCCCGCGGGCCAAATAGGGCCCAACAAATCCGGGGCGAGGCCCGTCTTCCGAACCGTAAAATTGTAGTCCGGACCTTAAGATGATCGCCAGAACCCAAGGATAGAAGTAGTCCGAACCCTAAAAGAGTCGTCCGAACCGTACAATACTAGTCCGCACTTCAAAGTCATAGTCCGAACTTCAAACCAGTAGTCCGAGCCGTAAGCTTGGAGTGCGACTCCGAAAATTATAGTCCGAGCCGTAAAACAGTAGTCCGAACCCGAAAATAGTAGTCCGAACCTTAAAATACTTATCCGAACCTTAAAACAGTAGTCCGAACCTGAAAATAGCAGTCCGAACCGTTCATTCGCAATAGAAAAGGTTTGACCCAACATTCGTTAAGCGAGAGCTTTTTCCAGAAGAAACATTGACATGGGCTGTGTGGAACAAAGCGGTGTATGTCTTAATGCTTTTGGATTCTCTGGGTGGGTGGTATTCGATACAACAAGCTCGACTAGAAACTGCTCGATCCGGAGTTGCTGAACCCTAAATCCTAAACCCCTAAACCCCGAAACCCTAAACCCTAACACACTAAGTCCAAACCCTAACCCGACAGGCCTAAAGACTCCTGATCTTGAGCCTCCCACCAACTCCCGGGTTTCCTCTTTAAGGGTTTAGGGTTTAGGGTTCCCCTAAACCCAAAACCCCCAAGGCGATCAAGCCTAAAGCTTCCGGAAGAAAGGGGTTTTCTGTGGATCGTTTAGGGCTCTGTAGGTTCGTAGGGTTTAGGGTTTAGGTTCGTAGGGTTTAGGGTTTAGGGCTCGTAGGGTTTAGGGTTTAGGGTTCGTAGCGTTTAGGGTTTAGGGTTCAGGCTTTAGGCTTTTCGGGCTTTAGGCTTTTGGGGCTCTCGAGTTTTGGGGCTTAAAATTGGGGCTTCCAAGCTCTCAGCTTTCCGGATGGGATTTAGGGTTTAGGGTTTAGGGTTTAGGATTTAGGGCATACCCCCAGCCCTAAGCCCTAAGCCCCATCTCCTGAGGTCTAGCGTTTTCCTTCCGGCAAAAGGGTCTAGGCCCTAAGCCCCAAGCCTTAAACTTCAAGGGACATTGGGTTTAGGGTTTAGGGTCCAGGAACCCCAAATTCTAAACCCTAGGGCTTCGGCTGGCAGGATCCCAAGCCCAGCCACGTGGTCTTCCTGACCAGCAAATACCAACGCCGATACGCGCTCTTCGAGACGGAGCGCTTGATCAGGAGCTGCGCCTTCCTAAAACCTAAACCCTAAACCCTAAACCCTAAACCCTAGACCCTAAACCCTAAACCCTGAACCCCAAACCCTAAACCCTTTGGGTTTTGGGTTTAGGGTTTGGGGGCTTTGGGGCGCCACAGAAGCCTCGCCGAAATCCAGGGGCCTTAATTCAGAATGGTCGATCCTGGGTTCCTTAACAAGGGTTCTTTCAGGGCTTTTGTAAAGGCCACAATAGGCGTTCTATACAGTAATATGGGAATGGGAATTGGTATATAGTATGTTATAGTTATAAAGTAGGAACTTGATCAAGAAACAGTGGGTCTTTATTAGGTTGGATCCTAGTTATTTCGGTGTTATAGGATCAGGTTTCTCAATCAGGTTCCTACATTATGGTTTGAATTCCACGGTTTCGCCACTGTCTCAGCACTGTCTCATGTTAAGGATCACTGTGTTTCAACTTTCATGATGCAGAAGGTGCCGTTCTCACAAAAACCATCTCGGTACGCCGCAGCCGTTTTTAAGACCGAGTCCAACAGCTGGCGTTTTCCATTTTCCAGTTTTGATCATATAGTTTTGACATGGCCTGCTGTACTCGCTCAGAGGAAGTCGAGGCGGAAACCGGGCTCTTGTTAAGGACATTTATGTAAGTTGCCATAGTAAGGATCTGCAGAAGACAATGTGGTTTGCTCCGTATTCTGATAGCTTAAACTCAATTCCTTCACCCATACCCCTCATAGAACCCTGATACCGGGGCCTTGAACCCTATAGATCCCTATTACCCTAAACTTTAAACCCCAAACCCTAAACCCTAGACCCTAAACCCTAAACCCTAAATCCTAAACCCTAAATCCTAAACCCTAAAATACTAACTTAGATTCCTCAAGAAGAACCCAGGAAATGGTCGAAGCCGAGAAGCTCGAAGCCCATCTCGGCCCAGAAGGATGGGAGCTTTCTTCTGCCTCAGGGGTTCAGCGGTTGAGGGGTTTGGGGGGTTTGGGGGTGTAGGGTTTAGGGGACCCTAAACCCGAAACCCTAAACCCTAAACCCTAAACGGCGTAGGGTTCAGGGCTTTAGGGGTTTGGGGGGTTTTGGGGTTTGGGGTTTAGGGCTCTAGGGTTCTAGGGTTTTGGGAATTAAAGGTTTTGGGGTTCAGAGGTTTAGGTTTTGAGGGTTTTAGGGTTTGGGGCGCAGGGTTTGTAATTAGAGCTTGGAGTGTAGTTGCAATTTAATTTGATTAGAAAATAGGACGAACGGCCCCATGGTTCTAAAAGGTCATTCGATCCTTACTTGGGGGGTCGGGGAACTTAGTAACTATTTACTTTATAAACGTATAAGTGTCATAATCCCAATTAGGATCCTTTTTAGGGTACTTGTAACTCTACTTAGTATCTACTTCCTAAGTCCCGCGACCCTCCAAGCACCCCCCCCAAATCCTCAGAAAGCTTGATCACCTTCTGCAACCGCAGGCCCTAAACCAGTAGGCCCGACGGCACATATTTTAATTTTCATACGGGGTTTATTAGGGTTTACTGGGGTTTTTAACAGGGTTTATTAGGGTTTATTGGGGTTTATTGGGGGTTATTAGAGTTTATTAGGGTTTGCGGTTGTCAGTATAGGGGTCTGGATGAGTTAGCAATAGTATGCACGGACCCCTAATCCAACCTCAGGTATACTATACCGTATACCCGAAACCCTATTGAAAAGTTAAATGCCCTTACAGTTTGTAGAGGGACACCACAATAAGTCATCATGAAAGCGAAGGGAACCGGTAGACCCTAAACCCTGAACCCCAAACATCCCCAAACCCT